CAAACCCTATTATCCGGGTAGGAAAAGTAGTGCATAGGGCTTATCTGTAATCCAGGGTTGCTTGAATCAGTTTCTCAGGCAAATCCCACAATCCGATCGCATGGCTGGCCACACCATTTCACGATCATCCAGGATCTCATTTGGGCTGTTCTCGCCGTCAGTGGTTCTCCAGAATCCTTCTAGTAGTTCAAAAAAACCAATCTACACAAACAGTGCAGAACAATCAATTTCTTTTCCCATTTTGTGTTCTTAACATGAGCTCATTAACTTCTTTTCCAAATGTATTAATCACAAATGGCATTCCCTTTAGCTTTACCAAGTTACAAGAGTTACAGTAACTTGTTTGTACCAGTATCAACAATTTTATCAAAATTATATCACAACAAAGAACATCAGCAGCTTAAACAGTAATGTAAACAGTCATAGCAATGAAAGTGACATTCATCCTTAAGGCTTACAAGAAAATGTAACTTAATTCAGTGCAAATACTATTAAACTTGAAATATGCTCATATCTATTAAGACATAACCATTCTAATATAAACAGAGCTATTGCTTCTACTTGAATACCTCCCCGATCGGAATATGGCTTCAGCGGGGTGGGGTGGCTAACAGCTATTAGCAGCTAGCATCGCATCTAGCATCGGCATCGTTTAGCTCAAAGCATTCAACACTTATAACACACTGTAAAGAACAACAGGAGAAGTAAAACAACACGCCAGATTCTCATAGCTCCCGATTGGTTTTTGTTCAAAGGTTTCTGAGCTGAATCAGCTAGTGAAATACATTATCTAACTTAACAGGTAGCTAACGAAAGCACGTGACTCACCGGGATTTTCAGACACAAATAACTTGACAGACGTTATTCCCTTTGTGGTCAGAGTTCGGGGCCTAATAAAAGAGTACCTTATTAGCATTTATACGTAAAACAATCTGGTCTCATTAACCGGGTTGCAGTATTGCATACCAAGATACTTTTTCCATGCGCTCCGACACGTACTTGACCGCCATCAGAGGGAAGATCTCACAGGAAGAGAGAGGTAATACTTCCTGCGCACTAGACGCAAGGTCGTCAGAACACAAGACTGCATCACAGCGCCCCCTTGTGACAATAACAGGCTATAGCCTTAGATTACAAAAAGGGATTTTGAAGCCCTGTATTTCACATGGGTTACAGACGTTCTTAAAGTCAGCAAAGAGGCACAGAAAAGAAGATCAGACACCAGCGAGGGAGGATAAGAAGGACAGACGCAACAACATTGTCATCCCCTATGTAGCCGGTGTATCAGAAAAACTCAGGAGAGTTTTCTCCAAGCATGACATCCCGGTGTATTTCAGACCCAGCAACACGCTCAGACAAAAACTGGTTCACCCGAAAGACAAAACGCCAAAACACAAACTTAACAATGTGGTGTATGCTGTACAGTGCAGCGAGGAATGCCCAGACCTCTACATTGGAGAGACCAAACAGCCACTTCACAAGCGCATGGCACAACACAGAAGAGCCACCTCCACAGGACAAGACTCAGCAGTCCATCTGCATCTAAAGGACAAAGGACACTCTTTCGAGGATGCCAATGTTCACATTTTGGACAGAGAGGACAGATGGTTTGAAAGAGGAGTGAAAGAAGCCATCTATGTCCACTGTGAGCGACCATCTTTGAACAGAGGCGGGTTTACGACACCAACTGTCTGCCATCTATAATCCAGTTTTGAGATCCCTCCCCAGACGCCTTAACGCCCACTCACATCCTGGGCCATCTGACCTCAGGAATTCGCATGATAAGGTGGGGCCAGGTTTCACAATGAGCTCACCCGAAACTCTGGCTGATTGGGACCCACACCCAGTTTCACACCTTGGCTCAGGCGATTAGAGGATCATCAGGGGGTCCTTTTGTCCCTCTGTGGGGGGATACTCCCACTAGGTTTATATCTGGGACTCTCCACCATTTGACCTTAGAACTGAAGAAGCTTCTCGGATGAGAGGTGCACCACATGCTTCATTGCCTGGGGGGTGTTTCATGTTTGTTTAATTGTTTTGTATTAATTGTTTTGTATTAGTTTGTATATGGCAGCCATCTTGTTTCCCCCCGTGTGTGTCATCTGGTTTAGCTAAGCCAGTATTTAAGTTTCCCCGTGTGTCATTTTAGCAGGTCAGTTTATCATATGTTTGTTTGAGGTTTTTGTTAATTATTATCTTGAGTTTAGTCTATTGAGTTGACCTCTTTTATTGGTCTGCCTGTTTAAGTTTTGGCTTTGTTAAATATATTTTCATATTTTTGGGTCAATATAACCCCTTTTTTGAATTAAAACCACCTGTGTCCTTTATGCTTTACTGCTTGGTCCTTGACAATCGAACAGCCCTAAGAGCTACTGGACAATAATCATTGTGGCAAGCGGGCTGTTGTTTCATAAAAACAGGAACAACGATGGACTGTTTGAAGTACATGGGAACCACTGCTTGGGCCAGGGAGAGGTTTAAGATCACTGTGAACACCGGTACTAGCTGGTCAGTGCAGGCTTTTAGGACCCAACCAGGGTTTGCATCTTCTCCTGCAGCTGTTCACTCTCCTGAACAGCGTTGAAAGCATTGTTCCTTACTGGTCCTCTCCGCACACATGCAGCCATTTGTTGTGTTATTTGCTGCAGCGTCAAAGCGAATATAAAATGTGTTCAGCTTATCAGCCAGTGAAGCGTTGGCATTCATCACTTAAGAAGCTGTCTGTTTATAGTCTGTTATTGTCTGCAGTCCCTTCCATTGGCTCCTAGAGTCGCACTGTTGTAGCTGTGACTCTAGTTTTTCCCCGTAGCTCCGCTTTGCCTTTGCAACCACGCTGCGCACATTGTAAGCAGCCTTGTATTGGTCCATATTACTGGAGACGCGACCCGCTTTGTAGGCAGTGGTGTGCGATCTCAGAGCGTCGTGGATGTTTTCATCCACCCACGGTTTCATCCACTAGTTTCCTGATATATCCCACAACCACTTACGTAAACATGTTGATGCCATCGGAGCTGCACCGAAACATGTTCCAGTCTGCGTCATCCAGTGCATCCATCCAGCGTGCGATCTCTCTCCTGATTGGTGCTTCCTGCTTTAGTCTTTGTAAACAGACACGAGGAAGATGATGGTGTGGTCCACTTTTCCAAATGCCGGCAGAGACTGTGCTTTGTAGCAGTCTTTGAATGGATTGGTCTAATGTCCTTGTGCCCCTGGTGGGGAAGGGGATGTGTTGGTGAAGGTTATGAAATGTGCATTTGAGATTTACTCTGTTAATAGCTCCCATAACTATGAGAGCAGCATCCTAGTGAAGTGTTTGTTTTTGTGTGAGAGCCTCATGTAGTTCACATAAGGCAGAGTCTGAGTCCGTGTGTGACAGAATATAAACAGTGCAGGCAATGACCGCAGTGAATTCCTGAGGAAGACAGAAAGGGTGACATTTAACGATCAAAAGTTCCAGATTGGGTGAGCAAGAGCTTGTGAGTGGAAAAATGCTTGTGCTGTCGCATCATCTCTTTTCTTCCTCGGTGCCATTGTTCTGTTTATTTCTTTTCTTCGGTAGACCGAGAAAGTATCGCTAGGTTCAGCAATGTCTCGGTGACAGTGTTGGGAAGGTTACTTTTAAAATGTATTCCACTACAGATTACAGAATACATGCCCCAAAATGTATTTTGTAACATATTCCGTTACGTTACTCAATGACAGTAACGTATTCTGAATACTTTGGATTACCTATTATATTATCGTGCTTTTTACAATTACATGAATGTACTATTACTGTGTGATTTATTACTTTTACTGAAGGTTACTCGCCATACCAATACCGACTAGATTTTTAAATCTTAATATAAAATGAGTAACAGTAGCGTGGACATTAGGTAAGGCTGCACATTTTGCAGCGATCTCGTATAGAAAACTATTCTGCACGTATATAAAACAGGTCCGCGGCTCTAAACCGTAGTAAAGGGACCTCTGGCTAATGTGTCGGGTTCGTGTCGGGCTCATAGCCGGAAACTAGCTTTACTTTGTTGTGTGGGTCAACTTTTGCTAGCGAGAGACAGAGAAAGGCGTCGAAAGGCTGCTCCAACGGAGCTTATTGTTTCGGAGAAAAACACGAACACAGCGTACAGTCCAGTCTTAATAGCTTACTTACAAATGGGCTCGTCAGGCACTCTTTTTGGCTGCAGTGGTTATTATTATATTTACATGGTTCCAGCTCCCATTTCTGCTCAATGACAGCTCGTTCTTTTCCTTTTTCTCCCTCCCTCGCTCACAGACACATAACGTATATGGCAGTCCATTCTCCCAGCAGCACGGACTACACTGCCCATGAGGCTACATTCTTTAGGGCTATGCCTGCAACACTCTGCCTATTGCCTTCATATTAAATCATTTTTGTGAATATTTTTTTAAAATATTTCTTCACGTCATTATGCGGGCCGCAAGTAGAGGTGACATGGGCCGCGAGATTGAAACACAGGCATTAGAATAGAGAGGGCATAGCCGAACATATGAAACAGGAAAATACCGCCGTGTAATCCCTTTATTTCAGCAAAGTAACTGTATTCTGAATACCACCTTTTTAAACGGTAACTGTAACGGAATACAGTTACTCATATTTTGTATTTTAAATATGTAACGGCGGTACATGTATTCCGTTATTCCCCAACACTGCTCGGTGAAGCAGAGGATGATGCAGTCCCGAATGTCTCTCTGAAACTTGACTCTGGCCCTGAGGTCATCACCCTTGTTCTTGATGGACTGAAGATTGGCTAGCAGTATACTGGGCATGGATACACTATGTGTGTGTGTGAGCCCCTAGCATATGTTACTGTTTTTATGTTTTAGGTGCTATAGCACTGCAGTCTCCTGAATTTTGGGATAAATTAAGTATATCTTATGTTACTTTGATAATCTCCTGATGGGAGTCTGGTCTGTTTTGACAGACATCCAGAACAATTTTGTCAATCATCCTTAAAGTCATGTTTATCTAGTGTCATTACCATGGAGCTGAGCCCACTTCAGCGTCATCACCCCCAACGATACGACACCATCTGCTGAAAAGCATGCATGCTTCGTTTGCATCTGTTTTGTTCTTCTTTTCAAACAGGGGACGCTGTCCACAATCTACAGCACAAGAAGTAAATAAAAACTTTGATAGATGGTCAAACACAACAAAACTATTAACAGGCTAGATGGATCACCTGCTTCTTGAATTGTTCTCTTTCAGCTTTTTGGGGTACAGTGATTACCTGATGCTTGCTGTCACTGCCCATTAAGTGCACTCACCATCCTCTCCTTGTCCAAACGTGCGAGGACTGAAAAGGTTTTTCCTGGCCTGACCTAAGACGGAGCGCTCCCTGCCTTCGGTCACAGTTGTTTGCTCAGGCCCTAATAGTGGGTCATCTGCAGGAAACAGGTGGACAATTGGAAAGGTAAGGGGCAGGTAAACAGGAGGATTTATTTAATAGTGGATTGTAGGTTTGTACTCTACCACATAGCTGCAGATCACAGTAGTCCATTGTTATATTTCCAGCAATCCTGACATAGCACCAGGGGCCCTCAGAGTCACCGTCAGGATTTCGGCACTTGTTGGTCTGCAGCTGAACTTCAGGGATGAACTCTTTGTCCCGACTGAGGGTTTTTACCTCCGGTAATGACCATGGCAGGCAGGTGTGACCTCCTATGGTAACACTTAGGTCCCCATTATATTCTATACCATAATTGGGCAAGCACACTATAGGTTTGTGTGGTTTTGTGGCCACAGTGGGTGGGACAAAGTCTTCACCTTCAACAAAAATAAATAAATAAATAAAAAAGACAGATCAGCTGGCAGAACAAGGAGTGCATACTGCAGAGAAATTTAATCCTAGATTGTATATAAGCCCTGAAACACTCCAGGATGTAAGAAGAGTTCAGCAGTGATGTGGAAACCAGAGACTGTGGAAGAAATTCAGTGACTTGTGAGCAGCTCATTTTAGGTGTTGACATGGCTTTCCAACATTACTAGCACAAGAGTGTCAACTAGCCTAAAATGGTGCAAGAATATTAATTATTATCATTTGTGACACAGGACCCCGTGAACATACATATGCACGCACTGGCGTCAGGTTGGATTAACAGTCCTTTTTATTTGTGGCAATGCAACAACCATGGCGCCAACTCCTCCGCAGCCCCTATCAGCTGCTCCAGCACCACAGCGTGCCGATCCGCCTGGTTGGATTAACAAGGGTGGATTAACAATCATTTTATTTGTGGCAATGCAACTGTGGTTTTTAGCCTTGATCAGCTCAGGACACAGACACTCCTTACTTGTTGCCACACACTCCTCTCCTGCCAGACTGTCACTATCAAAAAGAGCAGACACACAGTCAATTAACCTGTGAGGTACACCTGTTCTTCCCGCCTCTGTGCCGCCCTACGAGCTCACTGAAACCAGAAACCATCGCACCTCCTTTTTGGTCTTGGGGAACGGGCATGATGTTATCGTCGCTGTCTTCTCTACCTGAGGGCGCATCTGCTGGCCCCCCAAGTGGTACCCCAGATACTGCACCTCTCTCCGTCCAACCGCACACTTCTTCGGGTTGGCCGTGAGCCCCGCCTGCCTCAGGGACTCCAGGAGAGCGGCCACCCGCTGCACATGCTCCGCCCAGGTGTCACTATAGATGATAACATCATCCAGGAAGGCGTCGGAATATTCAGTGTGTGGCCGCAATACCCGGTCAATGAGGCACTAGAATGTGGCCAGGGCTCTGAACAAGCCAAGCGGATTGGTACAACCCACGAATTGGTACAAACCGTACAAAGTGAAAAAGGCAGTTTTTTTCCCCAGGACAGACACGTGAATCTGCCAGTTCTTAAGTTTCTCCAGTGCCAGTGTAAAAAATTGGGCAATGCCCAACAAAGAGTTCGTTGACCCGGGGCATTGGATGCACATCAAACCGTGACACTTCATTCAACTTAAAATAGTCGACACAGATCCGTATTCACCCATTTTTCTTAACCACTTAAGAACTATGGGGTTATACCACCCACTGTGAGACTCCTATTACTCCCAGCTTTAGCGTCTCAGAAAATTCCTCCTGCACTAATTTTTTTTTTTGTCGCAGCAGCCTGTAGGGCCGTGAACACACCATCACGCCAGGCTGTGTTTCAAAATGGTGCTCTATGAGAGAAGTACGGCCAGGGAGGGGGGAGAACACATTGGCAAAGCACCATTGCAACACAGCAACATCCGCTCTCTGGGCCTGTGCAAGATGGTCGTCACAATGGACGGAGGCAGGGATGGTGGATTTTGGCACCTCCGGCCCCAACTCATCTTTCTCCTTCACCAGGCTCTCCAAAGAAGTGGTTTCACCCTCTCTCCAGGCTTTAAGGAGGTTGAGGTGGTAAATCTGTGTGGCTCCTCCCCATAGCTGGACTGGCCATCGGGCATACCGGGCATTTGCCCGGTGGGCCGCTGGCGATTTTTTGTTTCTATGGGCCGATGGATTTTTTTATTTATTTATTTATTTTTTTAGGAAGGGTATATATAATGAAAGGTGTTGGATTGGCCAGTTGGTCATGATCGACTCTGGGCTGGACCAAATACAGCCGAGGAGGCCGGATGCACCCTCCCCCTTGTTTAGCAATCACGTGATTTTCGCGCATTGCATGCCAGGAACTCGTGGCAAAACAATCCAAGTACCGCATCAAATGCAAACATTTGCAGCAACGCAAAACGTTCATTCTCCGGTTCCAATACCTTCTTGTTTTTTCTTTGCCGCACAAAAAAGTAATGTACAAAACAAAAGGAGAACAATGCCGGTCCGTACAAAGACAGACTCGACGAAAAGACAAAGAAAAGATACGAGGAAAAAATCAAAGGAGTGAAAGGGTCAGACCCTTACGAGCACACAGAGGGACAAAAGACGTTAGCGTGCTGCCCAACTTTCACCACGCTCAGATTTATAATTATACGGTTCTTGGAGTGAGTGCATACACTCATGAAGTTTAGTAACTTCAGGTCACTGCAACAAGCCCAGGAACAGTTTACCGACGGATGGGTACAAGACCTTGAAATGTACCGTGTAGAACGAAAGACCATCGTACGAACAAAGGCAAGTTTACCAGTCTCACAAATCGTCGTCATAAATACACATTCGTTAACCGTTTATTAATAGGACCTTTGAGCTCAACGGTAATTAATTAGTAGTGGAAATAATTTCTGGTAGCATCACAGAAATGTAGCAGTGACAATAATACTGTATGCTGTAATCGTACTGGGCAATTAGTGATACAGAACAACTGTTTTATTCTGTGAATAAAAGTGTATGTTTTTGTCAATGTACCATGGTAATAACAGAAGCGAAACGCAATATTGTGTCAGGACAATTCACTATTTATGCACAATAAACAAAGGAGCATAGCGCGACAATTTCTGTTCAGCGCCAGACTTGCTTGTAACCTATATCACCAATTATGTTATGAAAAATGACGTATTAACTACTACAAAACTCTGACCTTTGTGGGAATGCTTGGAGCAGACTAACCTGTGAGCTGGAGTGTTCTGAGACGTTATATTTGGTATATCCAACCATCCGTGGGTTCTTACTTCAGAAACATGGCTTAAAAAATTTCTCTTCAACGACGTAATCCGAAAAAAAAAACGATCTCTTTACCCGTCGGCTTCCCGTGGCTGTCATGCGACCGGCTATTGCAGTTAATAATACAACAGCTTCTTGCCATTTTTTGGGTTTCTTTTTATCGCTGTATAACTGATTTCAATTGAAAGCCTGCGTGCGCTAGTACCTCTTGCCACAAGTTCCCAGAATCCTTTGCGGTTTTACCCTTGAATAATGTCACAATTTCAATCTTTATCCTGGTGGGCCGGTCTCTAGTCAAAATGCCCGGGCCGATTTTTTTGTCCCAGTCCAGCCTTGCTCCTCCCCTGTCCGACCGTACTACCTTATAGTCAACCACTCATCGTGTGACCATGATGGGTGCTTGCCACTTGGCAAGCAGTTTGGAGCTGGAAGAAGGGAGCAATACAAGCACTTATCCCCCCGATGAAAATTGCCTGAGTCTAGCCGCTCTGTTGTACAAGCTCTGTTGATGCTGCTGGGACTGGAGTAAATTTTCTCGTGAGAGCCACCCCAAAGAGTAAAGCTTTAATCTCAGGTCCAGCATGTATTGAGTTTCATTTTTTGCAGGGCTCGGATCTTCCTCCCAGTTTTCTTTAATCACGTCGAGCACTCCCTGTGGTTGCCTGCCGTGGCTACCTGCCACGGGGGGTGCCACAGCAACTCAAAGGGAGAAAATCCCGTGGTGGCCTGGCACACCTCCAGCACTGTGAACAACGGAGGGTCTAACCAGCAATCCCAATTGCATTTATCCTTGTGAATTAACTTATGGATCATATCATGGATTTTAACGTTTTTAATGATTTTAACGTCTTATTCAGCTGATCCACCAACCCATCACTCTGAGGGTAAATGGTAAATGGCCTGTATTTGTATAGCACTTTACTTAGTCCCTAAGGACCCCAAAGCGCTTTAGACGTTCAGTCATCCACCCATCCACATACACACTCACAAGCTACATTGTAACCACAGCCACCCTGGGGCGCACTGACAGAGGTGAGGCTGCGAGACACTGGCACCACCGGGCCCTCTGACCATCACCAGTAGGCAACGGGTGAAGCGTCTTGCCCAAGGACACAACGACTGAGACTCTCGGAGCCGGGGCTCGAACTGGCAACCTTCCAATTACAAGATGAACTGCCAACTTTTGAGCCACGATCGCCCCAGGGTGGTAGATGCTAATGCGAATAGATTTGCTCAATAATTCATGTAGTTTCTTCAGCTGAGACTGAAGCAGTCACTTGGATGAGTGAAGAAACACTTCTTCCACAGAAAACGCTACATCCAGATGAACAGAGTCAACTTTTGGGGAATCCGTATAGTTCCTTTAGTGTGCGAGACATGAAAAATCTGCCCTGGTCAGTCAGTATTTTCTTAGGAATACCGACTAGGGAGATGACCTGAAACAGTGCTTGTGCCACGCTCCTCACGGAGATGGTACACAGCAGCAGCGCTTCCGGGTATCACGTCAAATAATCCACCAGGACTAATACGAAGTGATAGCCGCATGCACTCCGGTAAAATGGCCTGATGAGGTCTATACGAATACGTTCAAACCACCTGGGGCTAGCCCTAAAGGGTAGTATGCATGTGGGATTTTTTTTTTTTTTGGGGGGGGGGGGGGGGGGGGAGAATGACTGAAAGATTAATTAGGCTCTGTTTTGAGTTTTGTTCAAAAAAGAATGACTTCATATAGGGAAAAATATATATCACATATGCAGGACACCTTAAACTAGTTTTTTAATTAAGCAGCAAGGCAGAACAAAGTCGGGGCTGTATCAAGACACGAGGACTAAACCCCAATTCAACCAGACCCAGAACTGATCCGGAATTAAAACAGGACTACAACAGTTCAAAATCAGGACTACTTAGGACTTAACCAAGACAGAACCAGAATCAGAACTAGATGATAGTAGCACTAAAAATCATCATAGACCTGCACTACACTTATTTTTTAATTCTACCAAAGTCCACTATTTAGATTGAGAAAAGTTTATATAATTATTTAGCCTTGTTGTGCAAACAAGCCTGCATAACTTTAAATAATTTGAAAAATAACAAACCTAAAAAGAAACACTAGGTACGAGATACATGAGGACCTATGATACGGTGATACTTTTGGTAAGCAACCATTTGACTAACATGTGTGTCTCACCTGCTCTTGTTCCATCTCTGTTCTGTCCTCATTCTCCTCTCTGTTCCTCTTTGTGCTGACAATCATCAAATATACAGTTGAAACCAGATATTTACAAACTCTTCAGATCAAAACAAACACTTTTTTTAATTGTAACATCAAATCAGACTAAATGTTTATTTTTTTTAGTTTGATAAATATATAAAACATATTTGTTAACTTTAAGAGTAAAGAGAGAAACTATCTGTATTTCTAAATTGTAAATGGCACCAAATTGTATGCAAAATTGAGCCACACTTATGGAGCTCCACAATTCTTTTTCTGGTGTTTTGGTTGACATCTCTTGATTTTCCCATGTCAAAGAAAAAGGCTCTGTGTTTTGCCTTATATGCATCCACAGCTGTGCCACCAGTTTACTCACATGGACTCTACTAACCTATCAGAAGCTTCTTCAGCTCAGAATGGAATCGTCTGGAGTTTTCTTATTAATTAACAATAAACTTAGTGTATATGTGGCCCTAAATTTGATGAAAGTGATAAAAAACAGACAGCTCTGTCTCTCTTTATTCTGACATTTAACTAATTCAAAAAATATTTCAATATTTATTTAACCAAAACAAAACAAGTTTACTCTAAATTGATGTTGCACAGTAAAAAAATGTTCTTGTGTTTTCCATAAAGTGTAAATATCTGGTTTCAACTGTGAATATACTGCTGTGTATTGAAATTCCTCGTTTTGCACAGAAATATACTGAACAACATACAAAGCATAATATATAAAATAACATCTACCAGAGTTTTTTCTTTGAAAGAAGCCCCTTATATCCATTCTTGTATTTCAGTACATTACTGAAACCGATTTATTTAGCCGTGGAGGGAAACAACTGAAAATATGAAATAAACACACATGTAAGCTAAGACTCTCTAAAGAAACAGCATTGTTGTTGTTCGGCTTTTCATTTCGCCATTTGTTGATTCACTCGAAGAGCAAATAAAGTAATATGGGTCAAGTGATCAATTTGACATCAATCTTTCGTGATACACCGTCATATTGACATTATTTGTACAGTACGAATGATTTTCTTTGGTACCTGGTCGAACTTCAGTTCTCCTCTGTCTGCCTGGCTGCGTTTCTCTAACAGCGCACTGGCAGGCAGCAGCTGCCCCGCCCCACTTAGTGTCTGAGCTCGGATCATACCAATATTAGGGGGGATTTACGCACAGTCGTAAATTCCCACAGTGTGCACTATGTGCTTCGAATATTGTGTGTAGTTTTTGTTTTATACACTTGTCAGCCAGGCATCTAACTATGAAAAAAATCACACTCCAAAAGACCCTGGGCTTCTGAAAAAACAACCTGGGCTTAAGCCCAGTAAGCCGCTCCGCCACTGGTTCAAACGGGACCTGCATTACGGGTAATAGATGCAAAGGGGCTTTTGGAATAACCAGCTGGCACTCTGGGCATGATGCACACCATCAGCGCACGTTGGCCCAGATGCCAGCCATTATATGCTCCACAGTTTTTTCACATCCCATGTGCCCTGCCGTGGTGTTGTACCAACAACTGGGTGTCTCATTTGTGCGAGCATTGCGACTCACTCGATAAAGCCTATCGTTCCGCAATTGGAAATGCAGGTAAGCCCGCGTGGCTGGGTTGCCTGGGCTGACCAGTTGACCAACAATATCCATCACTTGGTTGTAGGCTGAGTGTAGGGTGTTGTCCCGAGACTACCCCAGAGGAAAATCATCCATGGGCCACACCACCGGACCACGGATGATTAATATAAAATGATTAATATAAACTTTTTGGGATTGGATTTACACAAAAATGCATTCTGTGGTCCTACAAAATGCATTTTTCTACTTTTTTTTTCTTTCTAGTATCAGTGAAGATTTTATCATATTCAAATGACACAATATGCATTGCTACATATATACATACATATATTCAAACCAAAGTACAATTTTGATCTAGATTATTCATATTACTGTTATTGTACACATTGCAAATACCCTTGATCCTACTTTAAAGAGGAAAGGAGTTCATTACCATGGTTTGCCACACAGCTGTGCAGGAGAAACAGCAGCAGAACAGCAGCAGGTTTTGATGTTGGTTCCATCATGATCCAGACCTCTGAGCAGAACCTCAGAACCAGATCCAGCAGTACTCAGTGTGTCCTTCTTTGTTTGTCCGTCTATGTCTCTCTGCCTGTCCTCTGGAGGGGGGGATTATTGACCAAAGGGTCAAAGTTTGAGCCAGACTGATAAGTCAGTTATGTTTAAACCTACATGTTTACTTTTTTCTCAAGAACTCGAGTCCTACTGTGAGTTAATACTGCTGCAGTTTAACACAACGGCTCTGAAACTATACATGAATTATTGTTTGGTATTAAAACATATGAGATTCATATGACAAGTCACAATTTACAAAATAACAAGTCCCTAAAAAATCTTAAATTGTCTTGATTTGGCCTGTATCATCTTTGGGACATTTCTTACATTCGAACACCTGCAGTGTTTTTGAAAGTAATAATAAAACCAGTTGTTCTGGTCTTTCATTACAGGTGAAAGCTATCACCTGGCAGTAGTTAGGCATCACCACCCACAGTTAATATGCACCAATGTGTTAGGGCTTCAATTGGTTTTTGTTTTGGCCATGTGCTCAATAAGCAATGCTCCAGAAACTAGATGTTACATTTCAAATAAATACTGAAATTTTGACATCAGACTTTCATTTGGGTGTGAATATGGTCCTTAGCTCTTTCACCTCCAGTAAGTCCATTTTTCAACCATAGCAGGACATCAAGAAAAGACCACAATCAATTGTTTTCAACGTCTGATGATTTGTGACTGGAGATCAGTCGAAGGGCATATCTCTCACCAACAGGGACAGTCTCCAACCCTTCTCAGAACCTCAATATGTCAAGCAGTTAAGAAAATGGCTGGACGTTCAGTTTGCAGTAACAGTGATTTAGAAGGAATTCGTGTAATTCCATGATCCCATCAGAGGGTGCAGTTTTACTGCTGTCAAAGATTTGCTCTTATATTCTGTGTGAAACTACAGCTTGGAGTTTATAAAGAAACTTTTTAAAACATGAACAAAAACATATGCAAACAAATTTGACATGAACTACTTTTTGTAGTTTTTGATATTTTACATTATTAGTATATATCACTGTTGTCCAGATAATGTGTGGAAATGAAAAGTTGAACTGTAAGTAAATGCCATGCTCTAATCATCTTTGACGTTCAGCTCAAAATGTTATTTGTTCACTACACGATTTCTGTCTGCTGTTGGTACTAAACTCAACAATATTACATTTGTGGTTTGCACCAGTTATTTATTTATTTATTTATTTGACTCAGAGGTCGGTGAAGTCAGGTGCACTTTTACTGTTACTAAGCCTGTCAGACATATGTCATTTGTGTAAATAAAGGCCACTACTGAGGTCAGAGGATATGTACCGAATCTGATACTTTATCTTGTCTCACTGAGCATGTCATGAACTCATATAGCAAGCAGCATATTGGAAATAATTAACATTTATTACTGCAAGATATGATACAAGTCTTTAAGACAAAAATGAGCTTTTTGTGGCGTTACACCAGAGTGACCCATAATTCAGCCATTGAAAGGTACAGTTTACTATACTTCATTTTTATTCTAACAAATCTGGGATATTTTGCTTAGGCGAACTAGTGCAGCTCGATTGTTTCAGAACTTCATCCACTGAGTTTCTGTGAATTTTGGTTGATAAACTGGAATTTATTTATTTTTGAGTAAATTTAGAGTTCCAAACTTCATCAGACACTGGTTCACCGTTGCTTTGGCGAGTTTTTAAGTAACCGTATCTGAAAAATTAAATGGGTTTTAAGTTCCTCTCCATTTTCTGATGAGTCAGATGGTGTGATGTACTCTGTTTTCACCACTAAAAAAAAAAAAAAAAAAAAAAAAAAAATCAGTTGAAACTTGTTTTTGGCCCATGCTTTGACAATTTATGTACAACTAAGGCAGATCTTGGCTATTGACCTCAGGCGGATTAACAACATTGCACTCCCAGGGAAACTGAAGTTCTCGTGCTTCCAGTTTGTGTTGTTACCCAGACTACTGTGGCCGTTGACAATGTACGAGGTCTCGCTCAATCATGCCAATCAACCACAGAGGCTAGTGAGCTGCTATGTTGAGAAGTGGCTCGGACTTCCCAAATGCCTCAGTAGCGTTGGACTCTACAGCAACGGGATACTGGTGTGCCTATCCCTAGCCTGGTAGAGGAGTTTAAATGTGCAAAAGTGAGGCTTGAGATGTCACTCACAGACTCCAGGGACCCCATAGTGATTGGCACTGCTCCCACCCTAGCAACAGGGAGAAAGTGGACCCCAGCCACATCTGTGCTACAGGCCAAATCTGATCTTCGCAATCATGACGTGGTGGGTCACGTCCAACAGGGCAGAGGAGGATTTGGTCTTGGAGCAGTAACACCTCAATGGCAACAGGCATCTGTATCTGAACATTGAAAATGATGGTGGAGGAGGCGCGTCGACAGGAGAAAACAGTAAGACATGCCAGAGCTGTAGCGCTTGCCAAGCAGGGTCGCTGGATGAATTGCAAGAGTGTTGAAAAGAGGAAACTCTCATGGAGTGAAATCTGGGGAATGGAGTCTAATAGCTATGTTTCATCATCCGAGCAACATATGATGTGCTGCTTTCCCCAATAAATCTGCAGGTGTGGTTTAGAAAAGTACCCATCTTGCCCCCTGTGTACAGTCCCAGCAACACTCAAGCACATCTTGGTTGGTCGCAGGACGAGCCTTACTTCGGGCACATGGACACATGGGCTGTATCCCAATTCAGGGTCTGCAGCCTTAAAGTACGCAGCCTCAACGATCCTCAAGGGCCGCGTACTTAAAGACCGCTAAGGCCGGAAGTGCGAGGCTTGTGAAATGGGACGGTCTAGCCTCCGTTGCGCTGCCCAGGTTGCCTAGCAACCATGATACTAACAGCTGGAAACGTGTCATACAGCTTTGTTTGACAGAAATGAAGGAGAAAATCTTTTGTTCATTTGTTTGTTTGTTTCTACATGAGCTTTGATCATTCTCTGTAAGATTAAGCTCAGCTATTGAACGGCGTATATTTTAAAGTAAAGGCTTTAAAACCAAGTTAGTACAAACGTCATCAGGGAGTGCAGAATTATTAGGCAAATGAGTATTTTGTCCACATCATCCTCTTCATGCATGTTGTCTTACTCCAAGCTGTATAGGCTCGAAAGCCTACTACCAATTAAGCATATTAGGTGATGTGCACTCTGTAATGAGAAGGGGTGTGGTCTAATGACATCAACACCCTATATCAGGTGTGCATAATTATTAGGCAACTCCTTTCCTTTGGCAAAATGGGTCAAAAGAAGGACTTGACAGGCTCAGAAAAGTCAAAAATAGTGAGATATCTTGCAGAGGGATGCAGCAGTCTCAAAATTGCAAAGCTTCTGAAGCGTGATCATCGAACAATCAAGCGTTTCATTCAAAATAGTCAACAGGGTCGCAAGAAGCGTGTGGAAAAACCAAGGGCAAAATAACTGCCCATGAACTGAGAAAAGTCAAGCGTGCAGCTGCCAAGATGCCACTTGCCACCAGACCTCAGTGCCCAAAAGCACAAGGTGTGCAATACTCAGAGACATGGCCAAGGTAAGAAAGGCTGAAAGACGACCACCACTGAACAAGACACACAAGCTGAAACGTCAAGACTGGGCCAAGAAATATCTCAAGACTGATTTTTCTAAGGTTTTATGGACTGATGAAATGAGAGTGAGTCTTGATGGGCCAGATGGATGGGCCCGTGGCTGGATTGGTAAAGGGCAGAGAGCTCCAGTCCGACTCAGACGCCAGCAAGGTGGAGGTGGAGTACTGGTTTGGGCTGGTATCATCAAAGATGAGCTTGTGGGGCCTTCAGAATCCATGGATGGCAGGCTTTTGAGTGTCCTTGATTTGTTTTTGTTTTGTTTTTGAATGTCAGAAATGTATATTTGTGAATGTGGAGATGTTATATTGGTTTCACTGGTAAAAATAAGTAATTGAAATGGGTATATATTTGTTTTTTGTTAAGTTGCCTAATAATTATGCACAGTAATAGTCACCTGCACACACAGATATCCCCCTAAAATAGCTAAAACTAAAAACAAACTAAAAACTACTTCCAAAAACATTCAGCTTTGATATTAATGAGTTTTTTGGGTTCATTGAGAACATGGTTGTTGTTCAATAATAAAATTATTCCTCAAAAATACAACTTGCCTAATAATTCTGCACTCCCTGTAATGTCATATATCTTTGCCAACATGTGGCCAACAGTAATGTTTTTATCCATCCATTCGCTTCCGCTTATCCTTTTCAGGGTCGCGGGGGGCGCTGGAGCCTATCCCAGCTGTCATAGGGCAAGAGGCGGGGTACACCCTGGACAGGTCGCCAGTCTGTCGCAGGGCCAACACACAGCCGTACTGCATACTTATTCTAACATTTCTGGGATAATTTGTTTGGGAGGACTAGTGCAGCTCGATTGTTTCAGAGCTTCATCTGCTGGGTTTCTGCATAAATTGTCAAAGCTCATGTTTTGACAATTTATGTATGAACATACGTATTTATGTATTTTTCAAAAACACCAACAACAGACTTTCATTATAAAACAGCTCTAAAATTATTGGTAAACAATAAAAGAGTTGGTTGTCTTCTTATTTTAACAGCTCCTCCATAAAACACAGCAGGCACATAACAAAAAGCCAGTACTGTTCATTGGACATGCTGGCACTCACAGTCGAACCATCATATCTAATTATTAAAACATCTTAAAATCTTTTAAATACACTGAGGTGTCATTCTGAAACCTAAAACCAAACTAATGAGGCTCAGCTATTGTGATACTCATGGCCTGAATGTGGATGAGGATATCAGGCCATGAGTCTCTAGAAGGACAGATTGATACCAGGACAGTCCTCACACACTGCCATTACTATTTAGTCCTACACCTAAAGATAAAGCAGCAGCCATATTAGGAGGATTTTAAAGCAAAAAGCTTTGCCTGTTGTTCTCTTTTGGAAAGAAATACTATGGCAGCTCACTGCTAATTTTTGTTTTAGATGATTTCAGAGTTCTGAGTTTTTCTCTGTCTTCTTTTAAGTCACATATAGTCAGTGAGGTGTCATTCTGAAGCCCA